ATCTGCGCTTGAGAGGCATACAGTACAGTGGGCTGAACCAAGACAGCCATGGTTGCCGGCGTTGCACAACTGACTGGCGAGCACTGGCTAGAACAGAGCGCCTAAGTTGATTGGTCAGGCCAATGTCAATCATACTCCGGACCATTTTGGGGGACTCATGCTGGCTGGGCATGTTGTGAGGTCTGTCTCGACCCCGTCATGCAAGGCTGCTCTGCTTCTCAGCCGTGTTTCCTTGCCAGCGGGGCTGTAGATATTTAACTGCCAGCACTCATGGTCGAGGCTTTTGCCTGAACATCCCGTTGACGTCACACGCACACACACACACACACACACACACTCCAGGTTCATGTCTTTTGCGGGGAAGTTGCCTATTGCAATTTTTTCTGCTGCAAGTGTCCTTAGGATGGCAATGGAAAGATCTTGTGCCCCAAAACTTCAAAACCCATCCGACAGCTAAAACGACAAATGTCATTACTATGGCGTTCTAGGAAACACGGCACTATCTTTATTTTCTTCGATGAACCCAGCCCGGGGCATTCCCGAAGGGATACACGTGGGCTCAGCTCAGTCGCGCGCATTCCTGCACAAGCACGCGCCGCTCAGTGATACTCGACGCATCTCGACGCTGCTCCTGCATGAGCGCCTGACAAGCAGCACTTTAGAGGAGGAAGGTTGGAAGCAGGAGATGTACCTTCCGCTTCTTATTGTGCAGTGCAGTTTAGCAGGCAGAATATGCAGTTGCTGGCAGCAATCAAGTGCAAGAGAATCCTCGAGCACCCTCCCTCCTTGACATTCCCCCAACCCCTTCGTGCCTCGGGAGCCTAGCAGCCAGCATGACGGTTGCAGAACCGTCCCAAGAGCCGTCCCTCTCATTGCAGTGAATTGCGGAGAATATCTCTGCGAAACTCTCTCGGCACGGTTCCTCCTTTCGGGGGCTTCTCGCCCCAAAGGAAACACTCACCTCAAGCCCAGCACGGAATGCACTGCTCTTTGATAGGCAAAGAAGTTTTCAAAGAAGGTTATTTGAGCTGTATAGCACGCTTTGCACTGCATCACCTAGAGGCACGTGCTTATTGTAAACCTTGTGCATTCCCCTGCTCTGGTGCGGAACATACCTTTGTCACTTTGTCACTGCCATGTGCTTCCATGCACTGCCATGAGCTCTCAAGCTCTTAGGAAGCTGCTACAGTAAGCTTTATCCAAGGGTGGTACGACTTGTAAGAGTCCGGTGTGTTCCGCATGTCTGCGAATGCCCAGCCTCCGCCTGGAGGATCTCAGAGGCCGTCTGAAAGTTCAATGCTTAGAATCCTCTGCCTCTCTGCACCTCACCTCTCATCGGGATCGCTATGAATCAGTGAAGATGGTTGAGGGCCGAGGGGTTTCTGAGAGTTCTCTAGGTTGCTGGGTGCAGGGCAGTGTCGGCTTCGCTTGGCTCGCGTTTATCAAGCCTCCCGGTTGTGAGACTCCAGGCTTAGGGCAAAAATGTCAAGACCACTCAGGTGCAAGACCAAGTCTGTTGAAATTCCGTGAGGTTCTCAGAAAGGAGACCTCAATTGCTGGAGCTCTCCGAACTCAGACTGGGCGGAGCGCCCCATCCCAAGGCACGGAAAGCTCCTTTTCCTCACAACCCGTTCAGGTCTGAGGATTCCGAAAACAAACGCAAGCTGCTTCACAAACGTGCTTCATCGAGGCTGATGCTTGGAGCGTGAACACGTGCTATCAACACCTATGAGCCAGCGTGAAAAGCTTTGTTCGCTTTAGGCATGGGGTGTTCTGGGGGCGTTGATTGGCAGCAGCCACGCGCGCAGCATCCTGCCCAAGGCTCTCTTTTATGTACAACGCAGACCTGCTCTCCACACCTTGCCGTGCTGTGCCCATCTGACCTCCGTATACCTCCGTGCTTCGGCGGGGGTGTCTTTAATGACTCAAAAAAAGGAGATTTCTGCCAGGAACTCCGCGCACGTGTCTCGTGAGTCTCGAGCATTTGTGCGCAAGGTGCGGTGCCAGTCTTGCAGTCCGAGAGCGACATGGCGTCGACGAAAAATGCCCCTCACTTGTCACCCCGCTGCCAGCCACAGGGCGTGTCACCTTCGAGTTTCCATGGTTTTACCAAGCTCATCACGTCATGCAGCAAGATTCTGAGGGCCTAGTTTGGGAAGCACCGCTCCCATCGTCATGACTGTGGGTTTGAAACAAAGTCCGGGGATCCGCAGGCTCACAAGGTTCGGGGAGCGGTAAGATTCAAGCTGCGGTGAACCAGTTGCATCCAAAGAGCCCGCAAATGGGTAGAAACCCAACAATGCTTCATAGGTTGCAGCCAGGAAAGCTTCTCGTGAGGAACCTTATGCAATAAATCGGGCCCACGAGTTGGGCGTCATTTAAAGGACCTCCGCACTGCGGAAAGCCTGTGGATGTGCTAACGTATCTAATGTTGCACCTGGTTTTGTGGAGCTGCCCTCTGCAATCACGAGTTCCTGGAACTATTCTGAACTCAGTTTGTTGCAGTTGCCCGCTATAGTCACAAGCTTTCTGGCCGTAGTCTTTTGCAGCTAGGGCAGCTGCAGGCCGAGGCCACTGCCAGCTCCATCTAACTTTCTGGGTTTCAGTACGAAAGGAGGCCCAAACAAATTTCATGAAAGGTAGCCCACGGGCCAGCCCGATTCGCAAGGTCAGCTGCCGTTTGAAGCCCCTTTGCCCGTTGCTGGTTAAACAAATCTCAGGTATGGAGCTCTCTCTCAGGCTCACATGCAGGCTTCAGTCAGGCTTTCAGGCCCTTGGCTTCAGCCCAGGAAGTAACGTGAAGGAAGGAATTAAGGAATGTGTGCGGCGACGAAAGCCAGACCATTCGCGTAGAACATGATCTATGCCCGCTGAGTTCAACATCTGGATAAAACCAAAAGCGCCTTACCAGTATCACACAGCACCCGTCTATGGCCAGTATTGTACTTGGACTGAACATGGAAGCCACAAGCATCAGGCTTTCAAGAATGTGACCTTGCCCACTCTGCTATGCTCAAGTTTACTCATGAAGGCTTTTCACCACTGTTTCCTGAATTGCCTTCCTGCTTTCTTTTTTCTCGAAGTTGCGAGGGCAGGAACTCAGGGCCAGTTACAGGCACATGTCTGCTTTCGTTTGTGCTTCGAGGTTCAAAGTGGATTCCCATCCTGTTACCGTTCAATTCATTGTTGTGGTTTGGTCACTGTTTGGTCCATGCTGCAGAAGCCTGGCTACTTTTGTGGCTGCAATGACGACTACTGGGCCGTTGCACAAGGCTAGCATCGTCAACGACAGACGCTCATTAACCCTGCGCCAAGCAGCCAAAATGGTGAAGCCAAAGCAAGATTTCGTTGCGAGACTCCTCCAGGCAAGGCAGCGGTCAGAAGCTACTCCGATCGCGCACGCGTGGAAATGCAAAAGCCTTCTCTGTGCAAACACACTGACAGCCCTGAACATGCGAAGCTCTCCTCTGTACAAAGAAAAAGGATGCGAAAGGCATGGTGGCGCGACGTGTCCTGCCAAGAAATGACCGAAGAGGCCGGCTCCCTCTATTTTGCTTGCGCCCCTTTGTTGTGGACTTGACGCGCTAGCCGCAATCTGGATTGCCTTCCCCAAACCACACAGCACCTCTACCAGGGTGCTACGGGGGCATTCAGCGCACCTCGGTAAGGGTGGCCTCCAAGCGAAAAGCATATGGTCAAACTTCGTTGCAGCGTTCTGAATACGTAGATCAGTTAGACTTAGTTAGAATCAGTCAGGATGCACATGGCTAAGGCTCCCAACGTGGTGGACAAGAAGACGGCGGCCACAGCCACAGTATCAATGCCATCTTCTAGATTCACTCTTTGGCGGTGCACTGGCTTTCCATTCCACCCTAGCTAAAAGGGACCTCTGCTTGAAGACCTGAACAGACAACAGGGATCAGTGACTGGAATCGCAAGTCTTCATATGTCTTCAAGACGCTTTGGTCTACGGCCTTTGTGGCCCAATTATGATCAGTTCGCCAAGCACCTGACAACTCTGTCACACAAATACACAAGTCTTTGCTCACAAATCTTTTGCCAAGACACCTGCTAGAGATTTCACATGTCACTGAATCTTCACATCGCTGGCCAGGATACCGAGATACCGACTTCGGGAATTGGTTTTGGGTCGCATCATCAGGAGGGTGGTGAGGAGGGTCTGACCGCCGTCGAGCTCAGGGGCCTAGTCCATCTCTATCTCAAAGCTTAGCAAGGCAAGTAGAGCCTTCTGAGCGCGGTGGACATGTCTATAGGGTGGACATGGGCGGACAACCACACCCATCTTGATGGCCCAAGGGCCGATGGACTGATCTAGCCTCTCATCCTGATTGCCGTCATACGATCCCCGGAATGCAAAATGAGCTGCTCGACCGAACCTCAAGTTGCCAAAGAACAAGAGCTAAGGGCGGATAAAATGGCTGAGAAGTCCACAAGAGTCCTTGCCTAGACTGTCATGATCTGCTGATGCTAACACCATTCAGGGCTGTAGACCATAACTTTGACACAGCGGCTCAATGCCCACCAAGTCTCTCATGGCATGAGCTGTTGCCCACAACAGTACAAGCACAAAGCACCGAGAAAAGCTCGTCTGACATTTCACTTCAAACCTGAAGATGTGGCCGGGAGGGTAACTTGGCCAAGGATGGGGGACTAGGAAACCCTGAGCAAGAGGATTGCAACCCAAAGGCATCCACGACTTACCATGCTGTACCATGCTGTACCATGTTTTATGTGTCCTTCAAGACGAACAAACTCCGATCTGCAGCGCTGCAAAACCGAACATTCCCAAAGAAGCGGATCATCGTCGCCACAGGCCAGGGTGCACCGCCTTTTCGTTTACAAACTTTACCAAGTGCACTTAAGGCGGCTTAGAACACTAGGCTCGGCTAGGGATTCACTAGAAGCCTGGCACGTATGTCGAGGGTCCCTCCCAAAGACAGAAGCAGCAGTCCTGCCAAACGCAGCGGTGCTCGGGACGCTTAAGCCCGATCTGTTGAGGCACTTGACCTCTCCGGCAAAAGTTCTTCTCTGCCGGACTTTGCTTCCGTGCCCACAGAGACCGCGCCGATGTTTTCGCCGCAGAGTGGGCAAGCAGAGCGGCACTCGCCCAGCCACTTGCTCACGCAGTCGAAGTGAAAGTGGTGCCTGGCCCAGACAAAAGTAAGCGCTTGCAGGTGCTTATTTCTTGAGGTTGAGGCGATGCTCTGCTACAGCCTACGGGATACAGCTGATACAGCCCCAGAAAGTTCCAGAAAGCCCCTGCAGCGGCCGCAAAGGAATATGCCTCAGACGCGGGCTCTCGGTGTTTTGTTTTGAGGTTCAGGGGCCTTCAGCACATTCCGCAGATATCTGAACTCCATAAAAAGCCGAAGAAGCAAAACCGGTCGTCTCGAAGGTAAGGCTCATACCGGGATACCAGATAGTGTATCCAGCTCTTTGGGGGTCGTGCTGCCAGCACAGCACAGGGTGTCCGCTGATTTCCTGTACCATTCCCAGCCCCTAACAAGTGCCTTGCGGGCGAACAGCAGCTGTGCTTGAACTTCAATTTGGGCAAAGAGCAATCTTGAGCAAACAACTCAAGGTGCACGTACTCTAGATATAGGCATCTCTATGGGCGCCCTGTGTAAAGCAAGTTGCATACCAGTCCGGCACATGCATTTCATGCATTGTTTTCCCAAACTTCATTGGCACTTGACCCAAGAAATTCAACACGTCGGAGCCTGGTGTGGTGTCTCCTTCGAACTAGCCCTGATACCCTTTCATAATTATACAGCTGCTGTCACAACAAACTCTAATCTTATATACAAGAACGTAATAATACCAAGTAATTTCCCACCAGGCTTCATACAAGGAGGTTCCGGTCTTCAAAAGAATGTCAGACTCAGGAAAGCAAGTTCTCCTTCAAGACACCTGCCCTAAGACTGCAGCGAAGTGCTGCCAACTCAGTTGCGCCCCGGGAACTTTGCGGCTTGGAAGCAGGGAGCCTGGCCTCAAACACCCAGGCAGCCCACATGGGGTCCCACAGCGTCCCTCACCCTCACAAAATACTCACAAAGGAAGCCTCTAGGACCTTGTCACCCGTCAAAGCCATTCAAAGCCATTCAAAGCCCTGCAAGGACGCACCCGCACGGCAGTGCTGCCGCCACGTCGTTGTCGTCGAAGGCCGCGAGGCAAACAGAGCAGACCTGCGCAAGGAAAGAATGCAGAGGAGGGGCAGTCCCAGTTGAGAACGGAGCAGTGGGTCACACAATGATTACAAAAGACCCTCCATGACCCTCCAATCGCCACCACACCTCGCCGAGGAGATCCTTGCCAGGGACCTGAGACACAGTCTATTCTAACAAGCATTCGATTCCACTGAGCGCAGACTGCTTCAGCTCAACTTATAACGAGCATGTTCCGCGAGATCTCTCCAAGAGCAGTTCCTTCTTCAGATTGTTGATGCAGCTGGTGCTGGCAGTGGGCCTCCGCAGCAGCCCCCGCGAGACGTGAGACGCGTCCATGACTCCAAGAATCTCCAAGACACCTCTAAAATTCTAAAATCCTCTAATATACGTCCATATACATCCATGAAACATCCAGCACTTGGGCCTTGAGACTGACTCATCGAGGCGAAGCAGGGTCTCGTAATCGTCCGGCGTGATATCCCGGAAGAGGAGATCGAAGACCTGCGACACCACGGAGTTGACGGGACTGGAACCATGTGACAGTCATGCCAATCAATGCCAATGCCATCACCAGACTGATCAATGCATAGCAATGCATTGCTATGCCATCCCTCAAACGGCCTCGGAACTTGACAGTCCGCAGGCCAGGCGGGAGTCTCTTTCCAGGTTCATGCCTGGCTGTGCTTTGCCATGTTCTGGTCCAGCCCACGAACTACGTGGCACTTGGATCCAACTTTGGTGCTCTCTCTCTCTCTCTCTCTCTCTCTCTCTCTTGCCTTGTATGCTGCGGTTGCCGTGGAAGCCGCGGCCAGCGTAACCTCGAACGGGCACAGCACGCACAGCATGGAGCAACCCACAAACCCATCGCCTCAGCATCTAGGATACAGTACTGGCGGGCACCCCTAAAGAGTGCAAACTGGCTAAACATCGGGCTAAACATAGAAACATGTTCAGCACTGACTCTGCCAGCGCAGACCCCAAATGGGGACACGAAGAGTCAAGCTCTCCAGACACGAGGAACACGATGACGAGCGGCTCCAGCAGCGGAGCACGGAGAGACCAGCACGCCAGGAGATCTATACGCTAGTGGCAAACAACATGCAACTTCAGGGATTGCCCTTCATGGGGTCACGAAAGAACGATTTTGATGCCACTGGAGCTCCAGACATCCTCCGCATACTACGGAAGTCGACTTTCGAGAACCTGGACTTTCGGACGTCCTCGGCGTACTACGTTTGTACTGCAAAGGTCGACTTTTCAGCCTACCAGAGCTCCGGATGTCCTCCAAAAACACCAAAAGCGACGACAGTTTCGCACCCCAACGTCCAAAGGCTACGACAGCTTCATACAGTTCATTTCGCGAACCCAGACGTCAAAAAGCGACGACAGCAGCACGAGGATGGCGACATCGATTCGCACGGCGCTTAGGCGGGAGCGCGATTTCCAACATCACGAATTCCAAGTCCCCTCGAAATAGCCGCACGAAGTGAAATCAAACAACGGCCCAAAACGCAGGAATCCACGCGCCTGACGCGTTTTCGGACGCGGAGCGAGCTCGAAAAGAGCTCGGGACGTAGGCAGAGAGCTCAGGATTTCCACCTGCAAACAGCAAAAGATGGGCACGGGGCCTAGGCGAGAGCGCGATTTCGACACCATCCACGAAGCCAAAAAAACATGTAAGGCCGCTACAAAATCCGTGCCCGCCCCCACGGCGGAAATGGACGATTTTCGTCCTACATGCGACCACCGCTCGCGGAATAGTATCGCGCGCGCATCGGGCGTGTCTCAGGCGCGTCGCGTGCTCTATACAGAGACCCAGCAAAGGGGGTCCCCTTTTCCGAGGGGGGCGAAGACAGAATTCGAAGACGAAGTTCCTGAAGACGAAATTCGGCCCTGAAGCCGAAATTCGGCCCCTGAAGCTAAATTCGGCCCCGAAGACGAAATTCAGCCCCGAAGACGAAATTCGGCCCTGCGAAATTCGGCCCCTGAAGACGAAATTCCGAATTCAAGCTTCCGGGGCCGAATTTCGTCTTCAGTGCCGAATTTCGTCTTCAAACTTCGTCTTCGAATTTTCGTCTTCGCCCCCCCCCGCTCCCGGAAAAGGGGAGCCACTTTCCCGGATCAATGCTCAGACCACTGCAACACCCTTTACCATGAAGGTAAGAACCCTTAGTGTCAACACACTGTTTTGGGAACAAGCACTCAAATCCATAGGCAACCCAATGAATGCCAAGACGCCATAGTGCCAGTGGGAGCGACGCGGGGGGAAGTCCTCAGAGCTGGCAGTGACGCGGATCTGACCGCAGCGAACGCCAATAAACGTCTCAAACCTGCAGTAAGACATAGTAAGACTCCAGCCGATGGGCGTCCACCTGAGGTTCCACTGCTGACTTCTTCCCTGCGCTCGCTCTCCCAGGTCTGCCTGCGTAGCCTGGAGCCCAGCTTCGAAGAGCTGCGCCGTAAGGCCTTCCCATTTCGATGGCTACTTGCAATTTCAGAGTGCTTGTATCAAAAAAACACCGTGTCATGGACACCTCCGCCAAGGACCATAGGTGCCCATGGCTGTGTCGACCTGACAGCATTCTCTTGTCGACGCATACTGAGCAGGCGTGCGTGGATGCCGCACAGCGTACGTGCCCTGGGAGAGTGTGACGTGGTTGTGCAGATGCTCAGGCTTCATTTGCTTAGTACTAGGCTGGCACCGGGCAGGCTGAGAGTCCTCGGTGGCACTATGCAAGGATTGCTGACAGGCACGAGAACGGAATCGGGGTTGACTGTCCTTGACATGGCAGTGGTGTCCACTGTGGCGGCATCGAGTGTGGTGGCCTGTCACCGGCTCATGTTTCCAAAGTAGAGTAGCAAAGCTTATTGCCACAGTTGCCATGATCGTCACATACCTCTCTTACAACAAGTCGAAGAGCATTCGACACCGCAGCGTGAGGATTTCTTTGCTTACCTAGAGATGTCTCAGGACGGGACATTCCAGGTGCCGCTACTCGCTGCCATCTCCATGCCCGAGAGCAGTACCTGCGCAGCACTCGCAGCCGAACCGACATGTCCACTCAGCAGAACTTAGATTCTCGAACCTGGACGGCACCCATGCCACCATGCCATCACCAAGGCAAGCAAGGTAGAGCCTCACAACGCTTTTAAGACCGCCGAACAGTCGGGCCCCTTGCCATGTTTTGGCCGTTGCGTCAGTTCGTCCGGCCTGCCCTGGGTCCCCCATTGCAGCTGCTTCCTTCCACGGATAAAACCAGGCAGAGACATGTCGTGTGGATTCGTGTGGCGCCGCAAGTCTTAAGCGCAAAAGCAAGCACATGTCGGCCTTCTTGGATCCCAGAAAAGGGTGAAGTGGCGGCAGCCTTGAACGTCGTTGCCTGACATTCCGAACCACAACATTGGAATCAGCCTCACGCCTCGTACAGCCGCCTTCCTTTCTCATAAGTTCTGAGATCCGGGCGAGTAACGTGATGACCAACGACTGTGTACCTGTGCTGGTGATTGCTCGTTTGTAGAGTGCGAAGGGGAGAAAAGAGGGCCTCTCCGCTGGACAGTCCACGTTGATCCAGGTACCCTGTACGACCTGGCAGTCACGCGCTTCGATTACCTGATTTTGCTTCGTGCAGGCGCTTGAACTGATGCATTGATGCTTTGCTGCTGCCCATGGCGGACTGGACCGAGGCCTTCAAAATGCGTGAGCGTTCGACATCGTCTGGAGGAGCTGCGGTGTTCATCAGCGCGAGATCCTGGACAGAAGGGTGCTGCAACCGAGAGACCCAGCATATCCGCCGACCCCAGCGGTAGCAGGGCGGCGTCAGTGAAGACCCCCCACCGCCCTCACCGCCCTCACCCGCTCTAACAGCATGCTGCTCATGACACCTTGAATTGGAGTGTTTTTGCATTGTTTGGCTTCAGTGCATGCCCAAACCCCGCCACCCATCGCCCTCACCCATGACGCCTTGAATTGGACCTTTGACCCCCCCCCACCGCATCCATTCAGGTGGTTTAAAGGGTCCAGACCCCTCCCCCCCCACACACCCCCCCACACCCCCCCCCACCCCCCCACTCCCCCACCCACCCCCCCCCCACCCCCCACCCCCCCCCCCCCCCCCCCACCCCCCCCACCCCACCCCCCCCCCCCCCCCCCTACCCCCCCCCCCACCCCCCGTAGGCCTCGCCCCTGCCCCCTACTCCGTGTTTTAGAGTCCCTGCCGACCGCCCTTTCACCGCCCCCCACCCCCCACCCCCCCACCCCCCCCACCCCCCCCCCCCCCCCCCCCCCCCCCACCCCCCCCCACCCCCCCACCCCCCCCCCACCCCCCCCAACCCCCCACCCCCCCACCCCCCACCCCCCCCCCGGGCCCCACCCCACCCCCCCCACCCCCCCCACCCTCCTGTAGGCCTCGCCCCTACCCCCTACTCCGCCCCTGACCAATCTCTAGTGTTTTAAAGAAACCAGTCCATGCCCGCCCTACCGCCCTCACCCCCACCCCCCCCTCCCTTCCCTCACCCCTGACAAATCCCCCCCCACCCCCCCCCCCCCCCCCCCACCCCCCGCCACCCCCCAGGCCTTGCCGCCCCTGACCAATCTCCAGTGTTTTAAGGATTCCAGTCCATGCCCGCCCTGACCGCCCTCACCGCTCTCATCACTCCCCCTCCCTATGCCCCCCAGTCCACCCCTCCCTGACACCAAACCCCCCACCCTCGACTCTGAAACCCCACCCCCCCCCACCCCCCCCATCCCTTCCCTCCTAGGCCCCTACCCCCTACTCCGCCCCTGACAAATCTCTAGTTTGAGGGATTCCAATCCACGCCCGCCCTAACCGCCTCCCCGCTCTCATCACTCCCCTGCCTTCCGCCCCCAACTCCACCAACCCTCGACCGTCACCTCCCCTGTCCACCCGCCGCGCTCCACCCTGCCTTCCGCCCCAACCCTCTCACCAGAGCTGGTCAAATGAGTCAGGCCCCCCTTTCCGCCAGCCGCCCCCACCCTCTCCCACTCCCACTCCCTAACCCTCCCACCAACCCTCCCCAGCCCTCATCATTACCCCCTCCCACCATCGTGCACCATCCGACCGCCCCCCCGCTCTCACCGCTCTCATCGCTTCTTCATCTCTATGCCCCCCAGTCCACCCCTGCCTTCCGCCCCCAACTCCCTAATCCGACACCAACCCTCTACCGTCACCCCCCACACCCCCCACCCCCGCCGCCCCCCTTTCCACCCCCACCCACCCCCACCCCCCCCGCCCCCGCCCCCCCCGCCTGCCCGCGCTCCACCCTGCCTTCCGCCCCAATGCGACTGTCTTGGGTCTGGGGTCGGCGGCACTGGCGGTAGCCATTAAATCGGGCAGCGCGAGGTCCCCAAAGGACCGAGCAAATGCGGACCTTTTAGCCCGGGTCGTCCCGGGAATAGCCTTGCTGGCCTCTGGCCTTCTGCGAAGCAGAATTAGGCCGGACGCCAGTGCCGCCGACCCCCGCGTGCCGCCGGTGAACGGTTTTTTTTTCGTGGTTTTTTGCGTCGCCACGGAGGCCCCCAGAGGGCGCGCATCATGAGCATCAGCGGGTCCAGCCCGGGACCCCCAGGCGCGCATCAGGAGCATCAGCGGCTCCCGGGGCGGGACCCCGGGGGGGCATCAGGAGCATGATGCCCCCCAAAGGGCGGGCATAAGCGACGTGTCTAAGCCCGGGGCTAGGAAAAAGGGAGTTTAGGGGCCTTATAAAGTGCTTAGAAACGTTAAGGGAGTCTCGGAGCCTCAAACGCTTAGAGATTTGAAGGGGGTTTAGGGGCCTGAAAATGCTTAGAAACTTAACGCTTAGAGATTTTAAGGGAGTTTAGGGGCCTCAACATGCTTAGAAACTGCTCGCCCCGGGCTTCTGCGTGCGCTGCCCGCCCATGGGCGCAGCCCCTTAAAATACAAACAGTCTGTACCTGCCTCGCACGAAGCACTCCGCCACATTGCCGGAACCATCGATGCCATCTGGCGAGCGAATGCAGCGAGCATCAAAGAGGTTCCCTTAACTTCATGAAGATCATGCCAAGCTTTGTTCATCTTTGCTCCACTGGTTGATTTGTTATGCCCGGGTTCACCCGAGTGGCAAATGCGGCAGTGCAACAAGTCAACTTTGGACCCGTGATCTCCATCGAACATTGCTCATGTTTAACGGCAACATTTGGCGCAACGGATTCATGATGCCAGATGATGCCAGTTCTTCACACACCGGGCTTCGTGAAACGTTCTGTTGGACTCCTGATCCAGGCAAGAGCCACGTAGCCAGCCATGCTTGCGACAGCTCTCCAAGCTGCCGCCTTCATCGGCCCACTGCACCGACTCTAAGAGAGCCTCCCCTTGTATCTCCGCATTCGAATTTGAGGGGCAAAACTCTTCGGAGCAAAACTCTTCGGTGCCACGCTCGTCCGAAGAGCCGCAGTACGAGGGTGCATATGGGTGCATACTGAGCAGCTCTTTCAAGCAAAGAATGATCACGAGGATCATCAAGGATCGCAGCACGGGCCGGAGAGCAGAGACGGCACATTCCTGCACATGAAAAAGCACACTTCCCTGCCTCAGGTAGGCCAGCAGACATCTGGCGGCCGCGGTACAGTTGCATGCAGTACCTACTTGAGTCCGGATATCGAATGATCGTATCCCTGCAATGAATGTCCACTGCAGGCCTGGCACAACAGGATGATCTTCCCGTCTGCGATGTCTGTGTGTAGCCTGACCATGGCATCTCATTTGTGCCCACTATGTGGACAATGGACACGACTCATAAGACTAGCATCACAGGATGCGGCGATGTCTGCCCAAGGCCACCGTGTTCAAGTGGTGCAAACGCTCCACTCGCCGAACTGCGCTGTGCAGAAGCTCACGTTTTCTAAGTTTACCATGTTGGTACACAGATGCATTGGGCTGCCTGCGAGGCCGACTGGCTCACGGAAGCGAGTGTCTCAAGAGACAGGCAAATCAAATCTGAGTTGAGCCAAGGGGCCAAGATGGGCCAAGCATGCAGCCAGAGTAGATCTGTGTTCATTGGTAGACAAAGTTCGCCGACGCTTTCACAATGGTATGGAGCAAGCGCTACTCGGAAAAATGCTGGCAACCACCTACCACCCCAGCTTCCGAGAATCTAGGATTCTTTCATAGGTTCAAGGGTTCAAGACTGGTTCAAGTGGGTACAGTAAGGATGTTGCCGGCCCACGGACAACGGGCTTCGGGTTTTCGGGGCTCAGCGCCCACGGCGCTGCAAGTCAATCATTTTCGGCAGACCAGCTACCTAAACTCAAAGCTGTACACCTGCCCATTTGGGTCAGATTTGCTGGACAATGCTTCTCATATTCTCATAGCGTATGCAGGTGGTTTCAACAAGTGGGTTTGCTAGTCATTGTCCAGGCCCATCATGGCTTTGTACAACGCCTCTTACTGCAGCTTTTCTGGCTCTGGCTGCAAGGGCTTCATAAGGATGATCCATTATGATCTACCTCTTCTTTGGCTTGAAGCCTCGCAATGTGGGACGGAACAACAAGCGCTTTACTCAACACATGAACCGGAGAAAGAATTCCTGCCAGGTTGCCACGAAAGTTGTTGGAGTTCGGGTTGACTCTGCGGCCATACCCAGCCTGGAGCCACCCGACTTCTGGGTTTGAGGGATTCGAAGCTTCAGGCCCTGGCCTGTACACGAGGGCCCCCACCACTTGCAGTGATGGTCTTGCCTGAGCGAGCTGTGAAATTTGCGCGCCTTTTCGCAATAGGCAAGGACATGCAAGGACATGCCATGCCTGTGGCTGTCGTCGTGCGCTGATACCACCCACGAGCCTGGTATCTAGATTGGCTAGCTGAGTACGGAGTGCGGGCTTGCATAGCAAGGGAGCATGGAAACAACGGCATTTGTCAGAGCTGCCAACACGCCAGCACTCTAACTTCGTCTAACTTCACCAAAACTAGCAAAAGCTTGCGCCCTTTCTTTTGGGGGCTGCGTCTGGCGACGGTAGGCCGAGCATGTAGGCTAATACAGGCAAGAACCCTGCGTGGGCGCCAAACCCACACTAGTGACGTTCGAGCCAGGAGGCACACTGTGAGGTTCAGGACAGTCTGACCAGCGCGCGAGAAAAAAAGGTAGGACGCGCGTTGTTTCGCCATGCGCTTGGCAAAATGCAAAGCCTTGAACCTGGTGTTGGCTACTAAACGGCCTTTGTGCAAAGCAACAGACAAATCACTCGAGAGTGCGGGTCACTCTTTGTGTTTCGGGGCTTCTCGCCTAGGTGGCAGCGCTGTTTTCAAACAAGCCAGCAAAAAAGTTGCTTCAAGTTGCCAGCTTCGTAATGCCTCCAGGCAAACTGGGAGAATGTGTTCCACAAAGCTGTGATTCCAATGTGATGCTAGACCTGGAGCTCGAGGCAGTCAGTGACCCAAGCTCTGCTTCAAGCTATGATTTCATTGGCACTGCCGATTCCTGATGAAGCTGGTCACTCTGCATTGTCCTGGGCCGAGCTGATCTCTCTTTTCTCCCACAAAAACCCCGTTCAGACCCCCGTATACCTTGAAAACCTCACATTTATCGGCCCAAGAACGTTGTGCTGAGTGAGCGGGCCTGACACACGGCACCACTGTCGGTTCAGTAGCAGTAGCAGTAGCAGTAGCAGTAGCAGTAGCAGTAGCAGTAGCAGTAGCAGTAGCAAGAGCAGTAGCAAGAGCAGCAGCAAGAGCAGCAGAACTAGCAGTAGCAATAGCAGTAGCACTAGCACTAGCACTAGCACGAGCACGAGCAGTGGCAGTGGCAGTAGCAGAAGCACTAGCAGTAGCAGTAGCACTAGGATTAGCAGTGGCAGCAGCACTAGTGACGGGAACATCGAGATGCGGCTGCAACCTCCAGCACCAACGGTCCAACACATCTAAGTCTCGTGCTGCGTTGTCCTGATTGAACGGATCTCGCAGCTGACGCTCCTCACATGGACATTGAGCAGCTCAAATCCAAACAACCTCCTTCTGGCTGAAAGCTCCTTCTCGTGGACCTTCTCAGCGTGCCGCAGTTCGCGATCTCTTCCGCCAATTTTGATTTCATCCTCATCATGGTGCCAGCTTGGGCTCCTGCCCTGAGTGCATCTCATACGCTACACTACTGCTGTATGGGGCTGCAATGGGCTGCAGTCAGCGTTGCAAGACTGACCTCTTGTTGTTCGGGCAAACACATCATGCTGCGACAGCGCCGCGCATCGCACTATGTACACATGTACCCTGTCAATATTTGACAGAGCCGTCGCAATGAATTCGGGATAGGCTGTGACATCGGGTCCTTCATCGGCATTGGATGCTGCAGTTCACTGACCGGCCCTAACAGGCCCCTAGCGCTTTCCTGGGTAGCCCTTCACAGCTCCAGGACCTCAGGCACCATAAGCGATCCGTGTCTTGAGTCTTGGGATGTTTTAAAGGCCCTTCGAGAGTATCCGAGAGTCGGGCTCGATGCTCTGGCAGGGTAGGGCCCTACCCCTTGGGCAGCCAGGTTTTGATGATTGCGCTCTAAGACTCTGAGCTAGATCTTCATGGTCGACAGATGCACGCTTGAGCAGTGTGAGATTATGTGAGATTATGTGTCCAAAAAGGTCACCGGTCTGCCTGCGCGACTCCTGGTGCCCGAGCTGGAGCGGCGAACCGAAGCACGGACGCCGACTCTCATGTCCTTACCTGGGAGACAAAAAAAGGAACTGAAAGGAGGATGTGATCGTGGCAGCGGTCTGGCCTGGAGGAGGCCGCCCGGCCTTCGCCTCCAAAAACCGCAAAAGCCTATGAATCATGCAGAAAATCAAGCACACACGCGACTCAGGCGGCGACGGGCAGGGGCCCTGGTAGCCCCGATGGCACTGGTGCTTCTTTGATGCCGTCGTCTTCAAGAGCCTCCTGCGGCAAGCAGCGTCATGCACCCAAACTCCACCCAACATCATGGCAGCATTGCAAGTTCCGCGTGCAATAAGCAAATTAAGTCCCAATGCTTTCAACAGTCAGCACGGCTCGGTACGTCATACTATGTCACGCAGTTCCACTCTCCTCGACTTCAGAAGGCTCTGCCGACTCCACAACCGGGCTAGGTGCCCTATCTTCAACCTCAAAAGAGCAAGAGCTACGGAGTGAGCAGCAGAAGCGGCAGCAGCAAACCGGGGAGAGGGATTGAGTGTGAAAGAAGACGAGGGAGAACATCTGGAGGGAGACATATCTGGAAGGTATGAGCGATCGTTTACTTTATGACCGCCTCCTGAATCTCCTCGACCTCGTCACAGGATGCCAAGACCACGGAGGTGGGCATCTTCGAGACTGGGCTGATTCCAGCCTCATAGAAAGGCACTTCAGGAACTTCAAAACACTTCCTATACTCCTATACTTTCCTTCCAAGGCCAGGGCTTCAGGAGGCGTCTCCTCGTCGGCCTCCAAATTTGCGGCGAACAAGGCTTCTACGACCGGAAGGCCGTGAAGGGTGCCGTTTGCCCTGGCCTGTTCGTCTTCACCACCCTGGTAGAATGCCACCACCTTCACACTCCAATTTTGCGTCTGCCTTCTGTTGCAATTGATCATGGGTCTCTTTCGCGCGTTTCCGTCGTCGCCAAACTGATCGAGCCAGGTGCCTCCCGCAGCTTTCGGCTCGCCTTGCCAGAACTTGGCCGCAGCGGCGTTGGCGCCTTGTCACCATGCTATTGCTCGAGTCCTGCCAGAGTGGCTAGAGTGCCAAGGGATGCTGGCCTGGTGGCACTCCGGCGTCGACGGGACCGCCTACCAGGAAACATTGCGATAAGAAATAAAAGCCTCCCAAGAGCCTCGCAACTTTCTTGCGGCATTGGCCTCTGTCTCTTCTGGAATGGCTGCTTCTTGCCCTGATATGAGACCATCGAAAACAATCCGATGCAGGCTTCTGCCTTCGTCCCTTGAGACTCCCGCTGGCTTCCCACTCCGCATGCAAACGGTTGGCTTTCTTTGCCTTCTGGACATACCGATGCCTTGCTCGAAACTAGGCCAACCAGGCAACCGCGTCGTGCATCGAGGGAGATGTCTTGAGATAGCTGAGGGCCACGGCATCTCGCGCAAGTCCTGCTCTGCCTCGCACAGCTGAACTTGGCACTGTGCCGGAATCGGCAGGATGCTTGCCTTGTCGCCCGTTTTTGCGACCTGCTTGCCAATAGCCTGAAGGCTTCCGATGGTCTGCCTTATTCTGTGGTGCTGCTGACATGGTGCTTTTGAGTCCAGGATCAGCAACGGTCACCACGATCAACTGCTGTCCAGGAGGCTGTGCCCACTGTGAAACTTGCTCCTCACCTGAGGCCGTCATCAGCTTCATTATTGCCCGTCTGTCTTATGATACTATGAGAGGAAGCGCGCCAAGTCGCTGCAAGGATCTGTAAGGCACGGGCTGGCGCACTTCCGAACAGGAACTGCTGGAGTGTGCATCAGGGGCTGCTGCACTCCGGCCTGAAGCAATTGGAGATGGGGAACGGCACAATGTGTACAGATACTGTACAGATCACCAAGATACATCAGGCCTCCTTCAGAGCCGTTGCTGTTCCAGGTCGCGAGGCCGTGCCCGGACGGGAAGCGGTACCAGGCCCTGAGAGCGAGCGAGCACGGTTGGCTCTGGTTTCTTTATGCTCCGACAACTGAGGCCTGCGCGCGAGGCCGTACCAGGTCGGGAAGCGGTGGCCGAAGGTGCCTTCTGGAAATGACTCGAACCCTCGCCACCAACAGAAACAGCGCCGGGCCCGTCCTCCACCTTGGTCAGGCTGAACGTCTCTTCCTTTTCAGCTCCGTCCTGTGTGAGAAAAAGTGTGCCAGAACTCAAGATGCGGATAATTCGATAGTTGGAGCCAGAAGCACATCACTCCACTCCTCCAGGACGTTTTGCAAAGGCATCAGCTGCCTGAGAGAGTTGACCCGTCGCAAGAAAAGGCCTTAACGTACATGTCCACTACAACAGCACAGCCTGCAGCCTTTGTCTCTCCCCCGGCCTGTTGTCGACGTACTCGAGACCACCCAGGGAGCGCACCGCCTCTCTGAGAGTGACAGAGCAGAAAAGCCGAACAGCCACGGAGCCACAAGAACTGCCACAAAGCCATCCACAAAGCCATCCACAGAGCCATCTTTCGCAAGTGTGCTGAGGCTTGCCTTCGGGAGCTCCTCGCTCTCCGCAAGTGGGTTCCCCTGTGCCAGGAGAAGAAACATCTTGGCCGTTTTTAAGGCGACGAGGCATCCTCACCTGCACACTCAGCTCACGCAGCGTGGCGATCGACTTGAGCTTCTCCACCTTGCGTTCTCACTTGATTGCATATATTGCATGACATATCATGACATCCTAAATTCCTACATATTCCAATTTGCAAACCTCAGCGACGAAGAGGAGGTTGTTTCGCGACACATCGAGGATCTCCAGCGCAGGACAACCTCCAAAGCGCTTCGGCGTTCAAGGGAACCCAGTGAATACTCAAAACGACTCGTGATACTCAACTACAACCCACGATGAGGGCTCGACTGCTCGCCAAATTGTTGGGCACCTCCTGCTGCAACTGTGACTTGCGACGGCTCCAAACGCTACTTGTAGGGCAAGCTCACAAGAAGGCACATTATGAAGGTCTTTAGTGTCCCGAGCCCGAGGTCACACGTATTCACAATTATTCACGCGTCCTGTAGTTGATTTCCTGCCAGCATGAACTCCGAGAGGAGCGGAAGGCATGGAAGGCCTAACGAGCGTGGATTCTGCGTGGCTCGCCCGCATTTGCCCTGTCTGCAAACATCGCCTTTAAAAGCAGATGTCGTCAGTGAATTGTCGGAGAGATCCAACGACGACAGGCGAACTTGGCCATGGTCAGAGTCGCATTTACCGGATTCACCGGATGTACCGACAATGTACCGTGCTCACTTGCACCGCCACTGGTCAATGATCCCTGCCAAGGTTGGGCTCTGAGACTCCGACGCGGACCTCCAACCCCAAGAAAGCCGATGCTGGAGAGACCGTTGCCTCGAAACATTTGTGGCTTCTTGTGGACCGAGATGCCCCCCAACCTCCCCAGGGCCTGAAAGGTTCAGCTCGTCCAGCTTGCCCAAACCTGCGGCCACGAGTCAGGGAAGTCTACTCTTCTACTCACCGTTCCGCTCTGGTGGCCTTTCAAATCTTCCGTTACAACGCTTGCCAGCTGGTTGCGGCTGACATCCAGCACCTACTGGCAGAGTGACGACGAACAAGAACCCCTGGAGATAGTTCGCAGTTTCACATAACTTCTGCACAGACTACTTTCAGATGTACAGTTGTACTGGGGCCTCCAGAGCAGCAAGGCCGGGAAGGCCCTCCAGTGCCGTCAGCTGATTAAAGCTCAGCCGCAACCTCTGCTCGTAACATGACACTAGGACGTTTGAAAGAAACAGAAAGCAATGCACCTTTGAAATTTCCTGACCCGACGTGGTCAGCCATGGAAGGGAAGCCCACCAATATCTCTGCTTATCTTTCGCAACTTTCATCAAATGCAGGCTGCAATTCGAAGCAGGGGTCAAATCTGCATGAGAAGCCTGCCTTACGTTGTACATACAGGCTCTGGTGGCCACGCCTCCCCTATCCTCCCCCACACCCTCTCGCCAACCCCTTGAGCGGCCTCCCCATCAACCGGATATCGCGCTCTCCCCCCCCCCCCTCGTGCGTCCCTTCCCCTTGTCTACGGCTCCCCCGAAGGTCGATATCGCGCTCCCTCCCTCTTAATGTCCACGCTTGTCCCGCGCCAACTCGACATCGCGCTCTGCCACCCTGTTGTCCATGCCTCGCCTGCCCTCCCATCAGCCTCCCGTCCCTCTCCTCCGTCAACCTCCCCGTGCCCTTCCTGTCCTTGACCTCCGCAGCGACATCTCCTCCGCTCCTCCGTTGACCTCCGCCGCACCATCCCTCGTTCACCGTCTCTCTCTTCGCGGCCTCTACCGTCAGAACCCCCGATATCGCGCCTTCCGCGATGAAGCACCAAACTGATTTGGCTGAGACCAGGACTCCTTCAGCTTGCTCAGCTTGCTCAAGCCACGGCCAAGCCTAGCGGGCTACGCGCAATAGCCCAAGTAGACCAGCAAGGAGGAGTAGAGATTGCTTGGGCAATCTGCCTCTGGAGTCTGTTCCTTTCAAGATTCAGAATCTCCAGGGAGAAAAGCTTCTCAAGGCCTCGAGACGACAGAAAACGCCAGAGTCAGAAGGCACACGCAGCATCACGCAGCAAACGCAGCCATGCCTTCCACGCAGTTGATGTCGTTGTCCTCCAAGTGGAGAGAGACGAGACCTCTGCGCAAACGGCACTCGTCAGGTCTCCAGCATTCTGCAGATATGCCAACAAGCCTTCCAGAAAAGCGTCCAGGCTCCGGGCTGGGACATTTCTCCAATCCCTGAATGCGGGAAATCTGACAGCTGTCAAGCCTCAGCCGATCAAAGGCTTTGGATTTGGGATTTAGGGAACTTGCCCGGCACAGCACCAAGCACATCACTTCAGCTCGCGCAGCTTCATCATGGACCCAAAATTTTCCATGACTCTGATGTTGTTCCTGCGGGGACTACAGAACTTGGTGACACAAAGCCTGGCAGAACAGAAGCCATCCATTGCCAGGAGCCCGACGAAGAGAGGTCTAAACTTCGCAGGCTCGCCAGGTGATCCTCCAAGCCCTGGATTCTGCTCCTCAGCTCGGCAGACCTGAAAGCAGCCTTCTTCATGCGACAAGCTTGGCTCCGCACAAAAATTTGTAGTGAAAATTCCTTAGAGTGAGCCGACATTGAAAGTAGGCATGTAAGCACTTCAAGAACACAAAGGTCCTGAGATTGCCGCAGATCGGTTATTTTTCCTCCTTCCGTGCATTCTGCACACTGGCCTGGCTTTTCAGATCCAGGAATGATCGCTGATCAGGACATGAGAAGCCCCCCACGCAAGCAATCGGTAACAGAATGCAGCACCGGTACACTACTCAGGACAGCATGATCTGGAGATAATGCACGTACGTCGCAGTGAAAGCGCAAGTGACCGAATGAGGGCCGTGAACGCATGCCGGAAAGTCGGATCAGGGCAGAATCGATCTCAGCTTCCTTGCCGCAACCCCACACAAAAAACGACGAGGAGCATTCAAGACCATGCCGAAGAAAGCCGGCCTCCCCACCAACCCAGCGGTTGCCCTCGCACCAGCTGTGGAAGATCGAAGAAGGTTATATACATGTCACAAGCTGCTGTCAGCTGCCAAGCAAAAGAGTGCTACAGTGCTACGCAATGCTAAGCATCCACGCTTCAAAGAGCTGCTTGGTAGCCGCGCGTTCCCCACCCAGTGCCTTGAACATGAAGAAATGGATCGGATAGGATCTACGGAAGCTCGTTTGTTTCAAGCTGAGCTTAGCAAACCTGCTGGCACTTGGTGAAATGAGATGCGCGCGACGATGCGCTGGCTTTTGCTCAGGAGAGCTCTTTCCGGCGACTGCAAACAGCAAGCAGATTGCAACAACTGACGCAAAACCAAGTAACATCTCGGAATCAGGCCTGGGGCGACATTGCCGACATGTGAAAATTGCAGGCAACCCAGGTGCTGCAGCAGTTGGGTGCAACTTAACTGACAAAAACTGAAGCACTTCTCCGGACAATCTCACTCTTGGCATCATTCTTGCCATCAGTATCCTTTCCCATGTCTGATGAAATGCCTATGAAGGCCCGACCCCTTGAGCCACAAGAGCGGATTTCACTTCGTAAAGGCACAGAAACAGAATCACAAGCGGCTGACAGCACAACAAAAAGCAGTCCTCTGCGAAGATCGGCTTCCATACTCTGCCACTTTGTGGCTTTGGCATGGAGAACACCGTCCCCTTCGTCCTGTGAAATTCGTGTCGTGGACCCTGAAGCGATGCTCTAAGGATGCAATGCTTCCTGAGCTTTCTCCCAGAGTTGACCAGGGTCGGAACGCCGTCCTTGCAGCAAGGTTCCGAAAGAGCCCATCCCAAAGACCAAGGCGAAGGCAAACGCAACGGCAAGGTCAGGCCCCACCTCATCCACGATGATCGGGACTCGAACGACTGTGTCGTTGCCACACTTTGGGCAAAACACCTTGGCGGAAAGCTTCTCCCCTGCTTCTCACATGCAACGTGCCGAAGGCTCTGGGCCGTCCCCTTCAACCTCCCCAACGGACTTTTTTGTCTGGAATGGGAACCCCCCCTGCACGACAGGTGTGAGCGAGCAGGGAGCATTGGGCCTGACCATAGGGGCCCCCACCACCGCACGCTTCAATCAATCCCGACCCCCCTGCCCCAACTCCGCCCGTCTGCTTTCCTCTTCGTGTTTTCCTTGATTTCTTTGTGGTGTGGGTCCCTTCCAACTACTTCCTCTTCTTGCTGGCTCTATCCTGCATGTATTCCGCGTCCACCCGTTGCCTCATAGTTTCAGGGCTCAAGCTTCAGGCACACTTTCGCCCTGCGTACTTGGACGAGATATGTCCCCGGCGACCAGGGCCCCCCCCCCGACCCCCGCCCAACCCCCATGAACTGCATGTCCTCTCCACAGCGCCTCGCAGCTGCGCAGGCCCCGGCCGAGGCGGGTCGCATAGCGTTACGATTACATCTGATTCGCTTGACTCACTTGATGCAGGACGAACCTTCGAGGATTCGCGGTGGAAGTGGAAACAGGCCTGCATGCCATCTGAAAATGGTCTTCCGCTGCACGTGCAGGATACCAAAACCAGGCAGATGGACCCTGCAGATGAGGCCCCACCTCACCAGAACCGCGCAAGAAGGGAAAGTCTGGAGCTGTCATTCTAGAGATGTGACAAAGAAAGAACCAAAGAAAGAAATAAAGAAACTTAACAAGAGAGAGAGAGAGAGAGAGAGAGAGAGAGATCTATTCGGGAGCTGGTGCCCTCAACAGCTTTCTTTATTTGTTATTTCTTTCTTTTTTCCTTCCTTCCTTCCTTTCTTTGCTTCTTTATTTAGTTACTTCTTTCTTTCTTTCTTTCTTTATTTCTTTCTTTCTTTCTTTATTCCTCTCTTTCTCTCTTTCTCTCTTTCTCTCTTTCTCTCTTTCTCTCTTTCTCTCTTTCTTTCTTTCTTTCTTTCCTTCTTTGGGGCAACCACCGCTCTCTCTCTCTCTCTCTGCACGCGTGGCCCCCCCCCCGAAGAGGAGAGCCGCCCCAAGGGGCGCGCGAGTCCGAAGGTCTGTTGGAACCAGGGCTTACTACGGTTTTCGTAGTCCCTTTCAGAAAATGGAGTGGCCGCAGGGGAAAAACATGCACCTGGAGGACTCTATTGGGTTTCCCTCCAGGTTGCCTATCTCAGTGGTGGAATGAATGTGTGCCGCCCCGAATTACGCCCCTGGCCATGTTGAAAGAAGGAAGGTGGTTGGTTTTCCACGAAGTCTATCCAAAGCCCCCTGCGGAGTGGCAGTGGGGAAGTGGGTTAATTTGTCAAAAGCCCCCTGCAGAGCGGCAGTGGGGTAGTGGGTTAGGTGCTCCTGTCTTAGAAAGGTTACAAGGTTGCAAAATGGTGGAGTCTTCGCTCCCCCGAATTGCTGAACTGTCTTACTGCCCACGGGGTTCAGGTCTCTCAGTAGTGGAGGATGTCGTCGTAGCCCTGTCTCAGTTGTGGACGTTGTCGTTGTGGACGATGTCGTTGTAGCCTCCTCTTGCTGCCAGGCGGACGACCGTTTCCAACAGCTTTTCTTGGTCTTTGTTGCTGGTGCCCCCGAACTTCCTCTTTCTTGGTAGTGGTGGCTTTTCATGTTGGGGGTCTTCCTGGAGGGCCGATGGTGTTTCACATGGTCCCCCCTGAGCTGTTCGCGGCGGTGGGTCTCTCTTCATGGCAGTAGTGGTAGGCACGGTTGTCGTCGTCCTTGTCCCCTTCTTTATTTCTGCTCGCCCCCTATCTCGTCCTCCTCCTTGGGCGCGCTCCTTCATGTAGTGGAGTGCTCCCCCTAGTAGTCGTCGAGCCTCCTCTGGTAGTGGCGTCGTCGGGGGTGCCCCCCCTTTTGTCGCTTCCATGGCTGAAGTGCGCTATGGGTTAAGGGGCGGTGGAGGGTGAAGGTGTGCAACGTGGAGAGGCAGGGCATGTGGAAACATGAGGTCCTGGAAGGCATGGCTGCATGTGTTTAGTGGTTTAAAGGTTTATGTTGTTTCTGCGCACCTGACTGACCCCCGCTCCCACTCTGTTAGGGTCCGAAATCCCCCGAAGGCAAAGCATGAACACTCGAAACGACGGCAATGGCCCCCTGAACAACAACCGAAATGAGGGTGCTTAGGGGAGTGGAGCGGTTCGCAGCTTTGAGCCGGGCGGCGCGGCGGCTCAAGCCACAGTGGAGGGGGCGGGTTCCCCCAAAGTGACTTGAGCCAAAATGGCTAACCACCGCTCTCTCTCTCTCTCTCTCTCTCTCTCTCTTTCCCTCGTAAAACCTTCGACCCCTTGCAGTCACGAAGAAGATAAAGCTGCATCATTACGTTGACGCAAGATTCTCTCCTTGGCCCACAACAGCCCTCGGCTTGATTACTCGTTCCTCATCGTCCCGCATCTATGCACAACAACATTCTATCCAATTTGAGCTGTCTGTCGCGCTTTCCACCTGGACAGTCACAAAACAGGCACACGCAGTCAAGACAAGCACAAAGCATTCCGGCCAGCCGCAGTTCATATGACATGAACTGCTAAAGTTTCCGACATGTGCCATCCTACAAAGAGTCTGACAGTCTGACACGCAACCTCGAGGGACTCTCCACACACAGATCCCCGACCCGTAAATGCAAAGCGCAAAGCTGTGTCGGGAATCCTGTGGCTACACTTTCATAAGGAGGTCTTGACATGTCTTGATAGTGGTTAAACTGAGCGTGTGGCAGCTTCACGCTCTTCACAGCATAGCCGTCGAAGGTGAGCGGAGTGATGCCCATCTGTAACAGTACCTCAGGGGAGCTTCCGCTTGGCAGTGGCTGAACAATCTGAACAGTAGCAGTAGATGTTCCATGATGTTACATGGCCGGTGCCACTGTGCCAATCGAATGCACGACCTTTTGTTCCCACTGCGCAAACTGCGACTGCGAGATTGCGACGAGTTGCACCTGAGCTTCTGGTCGCCTGCTCGCTCTGGGTAGAGTGGGATGCGTATGGACCGTATGGATGCGTGGGAAGTGGGAGCTAGTAGGGTGCGGACAGCCTGTGCAAGCACCCGCCATAGGCCTGTCGTGGAGTCTTTCTGGCTGAGCACGTTGATTCCCAGACACCCTCGACACCTCTTCCAAGGGATGGCAAAACGACCTGAGCATCGCAGTGTGCAGATGTGTGCAGCGTGTCCACTTCTCCCGCAGCCCGCCATGGTCCCAACATGTCCCAACAAACATGGACAGCGTAGGTTGCTGGCCAGGGCTGCAGTGCGCCAGGTGAGGCTTGCTTCTGCTTGAAGCAGGAGGTCTCTGCTTCCTGCAGCGTCTACAGATGTCTACAGTGTCTTTTCACATGGTACTGGTACGTTGTGACAACTCCCCAAGCATACACACAACTAATCGATGACCTTCCAAAAAAATCGTCTTTGCAACGAAGGAACGTACTGTCCTACATTCGGTTGCTCGACGTCTGCTACCAAGAAAAGCACGCGACTGGGATACATTTCGTAGCAACATTGCTTCAGGTACAGTACTGCAGAGAATCACAGATACGCCGGTGGAGCGCTCTTATTTCCGACTGCTCGTTGAAGAAGGCATAAAGAGCTTCGGCGTACTCTGCACTTCCGCGCAAACTGTCCTGGCGCTTGCCTCTTGCGAGTACGAGCCGCTTCGTTGATGTATTTGCTGCTGCAAACAATCGGCGAGCGTGCGCTGAAGGCACGACGTGGTCCACATCTCCATGCAGAATGAGCACGCGGCCATCGAAGCCTTGAATAAGATCTTCATTGCCCTTCATGAAACAGTAGTGGCCAGCTTGAGCTGCGCAGTTAGCAGCCGAGATGTCCATTCCAATACCTGAGCATCGATGACACAACGGCGACCATCTCTGGAGTTGCTAGAAACAGTGATGGTGCCTGTCCCCTAGTGAATCCTAGTGATGTTTCACTGCGACGATCGATGCACCTGTAGGTGACTGTAGGTGCCAAGTCTCACTCAAGAAAAAATCTAGAGATATCTAGTCTACAGCATCGGTCGGGTCGAGTTACAGGTTTTTTCATGGGCACAGGCTCACCTCGAAACAGGAAACCGAAGATTATGACAGGGTAACTTGGCTCTGGGAACAACAAGGCAAAAGGAAAAAGCAGGAATGAGAACCCTACCAAAACCAAAATGCGCATCCGATCAGCGGCATTTCTGCCCACAGTTTCGCAGCAAGCCGCCCTACTCCCGTTGCCCTCCTTGTGTTCTGCTTCCCCGACCAATGCCTCCGAAAACACGGATCCGTTTCAACCTTAAACAGAGTCTGCGGAGCCTTGCGGGGCCTCAGACCTTCTGCCTTTACACGAACTGGCGTCGATACTAGCAATAATGACTCAATATGTGTGTCTCAGAATGCATCGACTCTGTCGACGCCAACTTGGGTCGCAGCAGCAAGTGCCGAGAAAGTGCCTTTATGCTGCAAAATGAGTCCAGGGCGTGGTATCGCGTGTACTGTAGAAGCAAAAAAGGCCTGCCATTTTGCTGGAAGGAGCTACAAGCAGCGCCAACCTAGCAGAGCAGCTTATAGCAATCGCAGCTCTGCGCCGGCAATTTGCATCAAAGAAGGGGGAAGCTACATGCAGCCAAAGCACTCGCACAAGGCGTTGTCAGCAGTCTGCGAGCCTTCCTTGTGATGGCTGCAGCGGCCATGTGCAGCTCGCGACTTCCGAACCTGCTGTCGCCCGCAGCATTGCAGCCCATCGTTGCCAGCGCAGTGTGCTGCGGCGGCTCGGGAAGCGGCTGCGCCCCTGGAGCGTAGCTGCCGCACCAGCCTGACGATGGCGATTGCCACAAGCAAAGCCAAGGGCTCCTAAACATTTCTCTGCGGTTTTCTTGGATAGTATTCAGGCTGGGCATCTAACTGATCCGGTCGCCTGTTTCCAATGCCAAGCTTGTGAACATACTGCTCCGCATCGCCGCGAGGTAGCAGGCCACCCGAGATCCCAGGCTGCTCCCGTAGACGGCTAAACCGCCTTCCGGTGCTCACTTAAGCTCTGACTTTAGGCAAATATGAGCCGGATGAGGGGCGAGGCACTCATTCCAACCCTTCATCGCTTCAGAAACCTTGCAGCACCTCGACATGCCTTGCACACCCTGCCACGCTTCGCATTTTTGAACATTGTGTTGAGAAAAAGATGCATCTCCCTGCTTCACGAACATCGGCTTGCCGGAAGCATCTGGCAGAGCCCGAATCATGCACAGTTGCCCTGCGGACTGTTGGGCCTCCCAAGGTTTCACGGAAGTCCCCCCACCCCCACCGCAGTGCCAAACAGACCCTGACGCACGTGGCGCATTGAAACGCATCGAAACGCCTCGAACCGCATCATTGAAATGCCTTGAAAGGCTGAAAAAACAGCTCAAAAAAGGCATTCTTAACAGAGACCGAAGCCACCGGGCCATGGCCAGGGTGGGCCAAGGAGCTCTGGCAGAGCATCGCAGATCGCATCACCATCCGTTCTCCTTAAATGGCGCTCTATGGCGCCTCATGTCCAGCGTTATATCGCCAAACGTAGTGTAATCACACAGAATCTGAAGCAGCCTTGTCTGAAGTTGAAAACATGCTGAAGGGCAGTCGAAGAGCAAATGGTAATGTGAGGCAGTGCCCGAGGAGAAGCCGTAGCCACGAAAGTCTGCGATTAACAGATTGACACCTGCGCGGCCTTATTGGTGGTTCCCTGTTGTTAGCTCTTACCGTCTTGCCCTGTGAGTCGGACAGACGCACCAGCGCCCCGTCATGGGTTTACGATCTGGCACAGGGGTCGCACGGTAGTACAGGGTGCCCTCAAAATTTGTCCAAGGGAAGTGAAGGGACCTGGGATGTGTGTGAGTGTGTGTGTGTGATTGTGTGGGCGGACGGGCGGGCGGGCACTCAGGCGGGGCACGTGTGGGCATATGCATGGGGGTGGGCGTGCAAGTGGGCGTGCATCTTGTGGGCGCGCAGCGTGTGGGCGCGAGTGCGCGTGCGCGTGCCTGTACCTGCGCCTGCGCCCGCGCCTGCGCCTGTGCCTGTGCGCGCGCATATGCCTGGGCATGCACGTGTGCACGAGTGTGCGCATACGCATGTGTACTTGCGCAGGATATGCAAGCAGGAAGATGGAAGCACCCCGGACTGAACTCTAGGTCCCAGCCTGCACGACGCCAGGGTTCATAAACCTCCTCGTTACAGAAGGTGTCGATGCTCTCGTCTTCTCCATGAAAAACAAGAACCAAAGGCCGGTCGATGCAGGGGGAACCCGGGGCACCCGGGGAACCCTTTTCGTGTCTCAAGAGCAGGCGCAATCCCAGGGTAGTGTTGTCGGGTGCATGCAGCAGGAAGTCCTTCTGGAGCACGCCCTCGAAGATTTCTTGCGACTGGGTTTTTGGCTCTCGGATACAAGGGAAGAACAGATTTGAGAGCTTCTCTGCCTCAGCTCGCCACTGCTCCACAAGGGCATGGACATCCTTCTCGCCAAGCAGGTCACTGAGAGCCAACGCATCTGGAAATTTTGACAGGCACAGGAGGAAGGCAAGCAGTGCCGGCGCAGCAGTTGTAGAGATCCGGGCTGCCTCCTTCAAGTCCCAGTGAGCCCGTTCGAAGCGAGCCAGGCGCCAGTTCAACAACCCGCGGGCCAACAGCAACGACGGGGCGTCCTTTGCCTCCACTTCTTTCAAAGATCCATCCAAGCGAGACACAGCTTTGAGGGCAGCCCCAAAGCTCGCAGCCCCTTCCAAGGCGCTAGCAGCAACCTCCAGTGGCGGAGACGTGTCCGACTCGGTGAGATCCTTAAGATCCTTGACTGCATCCTCTCTGTTCTCCCTGGTTTTGAGAAGCTGCTTGTCTTTGACTCGGATGCTCACCCAGCCCGTCTCCGGGCCAGCCCCGGAGACCTTTTGGAAACAGAGCCTCTCGCCATGCAGTGCACCAACCTGCTCCACTACAGCACCTGCCAGGGGACATGACGGAACACGTCGCGTCACAGCTTGAGCTTTGAACCCAAAGTACCTTAAAAGAATTTTTGGAGTCCTGAACTCTGAATGAGCTCAGATCCTAGATGATTGAAAGCGAGAGCAACTTGCAGGATCTACCTGGCCTACACCAAGCCGTGGCTGGACCTCCTTCGATTTGAGATCGGCCCCTTCGCGGACCAGAATTCCTCCCTTGTCTGCGCCTCCGATGACTTCCCAGTGTCTTTCAGTGTCCATCGCTGCCAGAGCTTCGACGCATGGAGCACCGCATGGAGCCGACATGATCGATGTGCCATCATGCGATGCCTCTATATCATCTCTATCTACAGCAATGTATAGCTGCTATGGAGATTTTGCTTTCGCAGCCTGCTAGCAGCGTATCCCCAGCTGTCCTGACACCCTGCTCTCCAGGGCCGGCTCGGCCGACCTGCTTTCTGCACTTCAGCGTGGCAGGACAAACCCTCTCGATGTGAGGCCCGAGCTGCTTTGCCGACAACGGCGTGTTTGCAGCCACGCCGACGCATCTGGACATGACCTCTCTGCACCGGGACCCCGGATCCAAGTTTTTGTTTACAAGATTCCCTGTCGAGGCGAAAGCACAGTGATGGTGAACCTCCGCAAGCCGCGCGATCTGACCAACCTCGCGTGCAGGGCTGCCAGATCATGTCAGTTTTGCGCTCTGCAGATTGCAGGTGATTGCAGGCTGCACAGACACAAGCGGGCGCACCTCGCTTGTCGGATTCATGTCCTGGCAGCGGCCCACCGGAGACTGCTGAATACTGCTGAATACATGCTGAATACTGCAGATTCGCCAACTTTGAACTCTGGGCTGGCGTGGCAGCATCGCAGATGGCTGGGTACTGAGTTGCTGCTGTGCGAGCTGCACATCGCTGCACTGCAAAAACAAAAGCCAGGTCGACCCACCCTGGGTGGCAGCCATACGAGCCGTCCAGTGCCGGTGTGAACTGGGCAGAGATAGGTCAGATAGGCATGGCCAGAGGGCATGTTGCATTGTGTTGTGCCGTTGTGCTGATGGCGCACGCAGTCTCGGCTGGCCTCCAAGAGGACTGAGCCCCGAGGAAGGAAGGCTCCCAAACCACAAGCCTCGACCGCCACTCAAATGTAAGCCCAGCTGAAACACTGCTTTGTCCCACCCCAAAGTCCGGGAGCCTGCCCCGTCACAGCTGCCAGGGCATCTGCCCGCGACACGTAGCGCACCTGCAGACAAGCAAGACAACCCCAGCGAACCCCATCGAACCCCATCAGCATCTCTTAGATCCTCTCTTTCATCTTTGCAAGCCCATGTGCAAACCTTTGCCTGCTCCATGATCGGGTGAAGCTCTGGACGCCAGACCTTGACCCCAAGCTGAAGGAACCTTGTGGCGTCATTGAGTCATAAGCGTGTCATAGTCCATCGGCAACTGGACCACGCTCCGGGACGAAGCAAGAGCTCAGGCGTGCGCGCAGTCTCCCACAGCTTTGCCTTGGATTGCACGTTGCGGAGTCAAACACGGATCAAAGCGCACAAGCCCGAGCTCCCGAAGGCCCGCTAAGGCCCTTGGGAGGGCACCACCAGCTTCACGCTTGCAATTCTCCTGGTCTTACCTCTCGGACCTGAGACTCAACAGTTCTGAGATGCTCTGGGTACGCGAGGGTTCGGGAGATTGGAGCACCCAACATGGAGCAATCAGCAGAGGACTTGACGTTGCACCAGGAGCATATTCAGTCGCCTCCTCGGCCTGCAGGACCTGCTGGCACATTCCACAACCAAACACAACCCCGAAAGGTTTTCATACCATGGCCGAACCCCTTAAAGCACCCCCTATGAACCTTCTAAACCCCCATGGACCTGGTCCTGACTCCTTGCGTCTGCGCCGCTTTGCGTGATTTCTGAATGCCTCTTTTTCTCTTTGGTGCCCTATGAACCCCTCATTGACTTGTCTACGGACTCCTGTAAACTGTAAGCCCTTTATGCTCCTAACCTTCATGAACCTCCCATCATCTCCATCGACCCCTCTGGACCACCGCAATCATCTGCACCGTGCCACACTTGGCTTTATTCATGTAGGTTGACCAACCTTCTTGGAGGAATTTCTCAGTCGGCTAACCTTGAGGTCGCGGGCTCGAGCTCTGGTCGGTGTTCGCACAGGTGTTCGCACAGAGGTGCGCAGCTTTGGCAAAAAGTGCAGGGGGACTTCCTCAACAATCGCTGCCATCTTCATACTAGCCTTTTTCTCTCTTTCTTTTCCTTCATTCCCTCCCTCCTTCCTTTCTTTTGTCGGGGCCTCGCAGGGTGGCCGCAGTCAAAGAGCCCGTCCAAGGCAGGCCGCAACGTCACAGCCTAGAGGCATCTCGCAAGTGCACCTTCATGTTTGCAATACGGTCTGCAGTTGCCCGCGCCTGACCCAGCGGAGCCAGGCGGCGAAGCCCGAAGCAGAACTTGCCGCTGCAGTCGTACTGCGCACAAGTGCTTGTAGCTCAACCACAGGATATATTGAGCATCACCGAATCACCATCACTGTCCTCTGTCATCCGGCCGTGCATGAGCCCAGGAATCGGAAATCCCCACACCTCACGATGAGGGTGATCAAAGAATTCGGGTTACTCATGGCTACTCTGAACCGCGCACCCACAATATTTACCAAGGACGAGGCCGCATCGCTGAATCGAGCCGAGTCTGCAACAGTCCCTGTTTCTGGCACACCTGCACGATTGCTGAGTGAAGCCAGCCAGCCTGGGGCAGCCTATGCATGGTCTCTACGAGGGCTGACACGTCGGCTTCCGTGAGCCGAAGTATTCTGAATTCTCTGAATTCTGAATGACCCCCCCGGCCCCAAGAGGTCGCGGAATTTGATTAGAGTACTGGCGACTGTGGCTTCCACTCAAGCTCGGATTTTGGGTCTTAGACTTGCCACTACAAGACCTTCTCCATCCAGCCTCAAGCTAGGCCAGCTAGGCAAGGGTGACCTTCATTAAAAGTGGATACTTGTAGCAAGTAGGAAATACAGTAACAGTGGAGACCCACGCAGCAGCTGCATGGGGATTCGTGAGCCGCTGCTCTCATGAAATCCCGGGCCTTCTGACAGCCAGAGAACTTGAAAGCGTGACCTCGGCAGTGAGCTTGGCACTTGACAGCACAGCTCGCGAACTCGAGTAGTGTGAATTCCACGTGTCACACCCGCTCCCACCACTGCGTCTCTGCCTCCTCACGGCACTTCTCTAAACATCTCGAAGCAACCTATGCCTTTCTGTGTCGCATGGGCTGCGCCTAGTTGCGTGTTTTTTGCATCCTGCACGATGCTTGTGAAGGGGCTTCGACGTTTCGGTCTGAGACAGGAACGTGAAAGCCAAGGTCGAAAGCAACTAAAACTTTTCACAGCAAAAAATCTGGCCCAAAGAGTCTCGCAAGGTTTGAGGACTATTCAACACTTATGAGGGGGGCGCCGCCCAAAAAACCCTTGTCTCCCTTGGCACAACTCTTTGGGGTGCGAAAAACCAAAGGAAGCTTGGCGGTGCCTTGGCACCTGAAAGGTGCTTCGCGCTACTCAGAGACTCTGAGGTGCACGCAGCATGGCAAACAGCCTGGCATGCAACATGGCAACAGGGCAATGGAAACAGACCGGACATGATGTCAACTTATGGGAACTGCTGGCCAGCATAATAGCGCCAGTCCGACGGGCTCAGGTTGCCCCAGCGACTTCTCGCACCAAAGCCGCCGTGGCTTCCTCCACACATGACGAAAGCAGCTTCCGGAGCTTCTGGAGCAGCCGGGCCACAACAGAACACAAGAAACCTCCGTAGCGAACTTGACGGGGCAGTCTCGAGAAGGGCTCAGCCTGTCAAGAGTAGCGTGGATGTGTCAGCGAGAGCATTCCTACTGAGCCGCTACTGCATCGCTACTGCAGCGTCTCTGTGTTGCCTCGTCATGGTCTGCCAAGAGCACGGTGACCTTCCCAGGCCCTCCAAGGAGATGATGAACCAGCAGCATGGCACCTAAAACAGCTTGTCATGCAGTTGCACTCATTTCGCTCGCCACATATCTCAAACAAATGCCCAGAAAGCCTCCAAGCCATGTCCTCAGCGCAACCGAGATGTGAAACGACCTGGAACAATCAATCGCGTGCGATGCGTGGTGCAAAAGGCACAGGCGTGCCGGAAGGGGTGCTATGGTGTTTAACATGTGTTCGCCCCCTTGTTTCTTCAGCGCAGAGCGATGATCGGCAAGCTCGCCGTGCCCCACCCTTCAGTCCATCTCTTCCAGCCCAGATATTTCTTCTGGTCTGGGCCTAAGTTCTCATGGCAAAGTCCTTATCCACCCTTGATTTTGTCCAGAAGCTGCTGAATGTACCGATGCCTAGCTCTGTCTATTCAAACTTGGTCTTGTTTAAGAATTTAGAGAGTTTCAAGAGTTTAGACATATGTAGGATAAGTCGAGGGTCATCTTAGACAGCGGGACGTTGAACGTCAGTGGAGCGGCGTCCTGGCACCGTAAGCGAAATTAATCCATGCAGGACCCTGGCAGAGTAGCGAACCTCGCAGGTCAATTCTTCCAAGGGTCCTCACAGGAACGTAGTGTGGCGAGAGGTGCATGCTGATGCTCTGATGCTCAGCATGGGCCTCCTGAAGCCCGGCATACCCGGCTTTCGCTCCGGTCGCTCCGGTCGCTCCGGTCGCTCCGGCTGCTTCGGCTCTGAGTCTTTGGATCATGTCCACTAGCGGAAATGATCATCTGAGCCTGCGACATCTCACTGCCACAGGGAACTGCGCAAGTCATGTGCCGGCCTGCATCAGAAACCCGTCAGCAGCTTCCTGGCAGGGATCTCCGTATGCCACGTGCCGCATGCCCGGTATTGAACTGTTTGTCAGAATTTGCCTGCTTCAGGTGGTCCTGCAACTGACCTCAAGGTACTGTGGCATTTCACCACCACCCAGACCAGACCCCTTACAGCCCAGAAGCGGGTAGCTCTCCAATAGACCCTCGTGAATACATTGTGCTTTCAGGTGCACGTTTTCCTACGCCGGGAATGCATGGTGGAAGCGAGGCGAAATCATATGGTCACTGGATGTTGCAAGCCATGCTGGCGGCCAAGTGGCCGGATAAGCTTCGAGCCTTGGCGGCATCGTCACGCGCCCCGACTGCATCACCGAGCTTGAGCCGCGCCCGTGCTCGGCACAGCAACGCGTCTGCAGCGTCACGATGGACCAGAAATCCTTGCAGCATGGCGCAGCCAAATGCCATGCAGGGCCAAGGACAGTTGAGCCACAACCGCTCCTTCAAAGCCACGGAGTCTCAGACAGCGAATTCAATGTTCAGTGTAGACAGTGCATCGCGATTTTGTTGCCACAGGATTTCTACAAGTGCTGCCTTGGCTCCTTCCTCTGAGGGCGCCTGCAAGGTCTCAACACAGCGATGCACAGCGATGAGTGACATGAGTTGTGACATGCTGTGACTTTCCGACGTCTTAAACTGACTCCTGTTTTTCGGTCGCCTCGGAGGGAATGATCCCCAGCTCTGTGAGTTCTGCGAGCTGATGGTGACTGCCTGGGCAGAGCATCGCCGCCTCCCAAGGCAAACGCGGCAGTGTCGTTCCGAGGAGCACGGTGAGGAACACGGAAGTCTACAGAAGATCACACAAAGCTCTCAGTCCGCCTCGAGAGCTTTGCTCGCACGGGCCTCCGCCTGCAAGCCGCAACACACAGGGCGCCCCTTTTTTTCCGGGCCTCCACCGAAAAGGCCTCGGACCAGTCCTCGGCTGCGCTGCTGCCAAGCAGACCAAAAGTAGACGCCTACATAGTCAATATGCGCATATGTATTGTGTATATCTAATACATGTAATACTGCCTAGTATACATATATATATATGTACACACCAACATACATGCATACACACACAAGTACGTGGAAGTGTCTCTGCAAAAGCCCAAGCATCACTTAGCAAGGAGAAAGCCTTGGCCGCCATGAGCCGGATGCCAAGCGCCTCCACTCGGAGGTCAACAGCCTTTTCCATCACGTGCAACGGCAGCAACGCACATGTTGCAGACTACAAAGCCGAATGGGGGATGCTACCAGATCTTGACTGCAGCTGCGCGTCCTGGAGTGCTTCTTCTGTGCTCGCATCCTCCCGCGCGAACTAACTGGGGGGAGAGATGGGAGCCAGCTTTTTTTTGGTCTTTTTTTTGGGGGGGAGGTATGTTTCTGGGTTTAGGATTTAAGGTTTTGGGGGTTAGGGTTTAGGGTTTAGGGTTTAGGGTTTAGGGTTTAGGGTTTAGGGTTTAGGGTTTAGGGTTTAGGGTTTAGGGTTTAGGTGTTTAGGGTTTGGGGTTTAGGGTTTAGGGTTTTGGGCTTTTAGGGTTTAGGGCTTAGGGCTTAGGGTTTAGGGTTTAGGGTTTAGGGTTTAGGGTTAGGGTTTAGGGTTTAGGGGGTAGGGTTTAGGGTTTAGGGTTTAGGGCTTAGAAAAACAAAAAAACACCCAAAAAAAAACCGAAAATACCAAAAAGAACCCCCACCCGGAGAGATGGATCGCTGTTGTTGGCTTGTGACTTCTCATTGCTACAGCTCCATTTCAGAAATTGCCAGCAAACGTCAAACGTCCCAGGAAAACAGTGGGGCCCTTCCGACTTCTGCCCCGACAGCTGTGCATAGGACCTCGGTGCGCATACTGCCAAGTCCCTGAACTTCCTGGCGTCGTCAAGACTCCGCTCCCTCGGGCTTCTAGAGAGCGTTGAACAGCACATGCTCTTCTGAATCGCTTCCCGTGCGAGATCTTCGAGGAAGAGCCCGGAAAAAGTCGCCGTCAACCAACCCTGACTGAAAGGAAGGAACATTCCGTGAGTGCTTCGACTCCCCCGGGCTCCCCCCCACACCCTCTTCGTGACTGTGAGCTTGGTTTGGCCTGGCTCCCGTTTTAGCCCAAGCAGGAGAAATCAATGGTAATCTTCATCGCAGCGAACTGAAAAGACTGACAATCACGGCAATCATTCACGAACGATGCCGGTCAACGGTCAACGAAGCCGCACAGGCCAGACAGCCAACCAAGAAGCCAGGAAGCGGAGGGGCCAGAAAGCCCGCAAGTCAAGAAGACAGAAAGCGCGGAGCACGAACACGTATTATACGTATTGGATTCAAGAATGTGGCGCTCTCTGGTCACGCACGAGACTCTGCTCTCCAAAACTGCTCTCAAAAGGTTGCTCAACTCAGGGGCAGCGTGATCACCTCTACCAACCCCGCCATGAGACGACTTGGAGGAGCGATGCGGACTGAGGCGAAGAGGCGTACAAGTAACGTTTTGACTGGCCCGGTCTCCAGCCTAGTCGACACGGTGTCTCAGGAGCGAGCTAGAGCAACTTCCGGTCCTGCAGAGAGAGCAGGATCTTGCTGGCATCGTCGTAGAGCCCTCGGCCCCACTGACATCCAGTCACCGTCGAGTCAGAGGTTCCTGAGGTTCCCTGAGCCTTGGACTCACAGCTTCCTCCAAGCTGCCAGCGGCCGCCTCCCGATCTGCCTGCATCCTCTGGGCGCGGACGGCGGCCAGGATCTTGGCCTGTGCACTGTGCTTCAAGAGGCAAGCTTCAAGAGGCAAGCTTCAAGGCATGCTTGGACATGCTCTGCACATCTTTTCACCGTCCGCAGCGCCTTGGCATCGTCGAAGGCCTCTTCTGGCGGGCCTCAGCTCAGAATGCCGCACCTTATGGAATCCTTCCCCTGCTTGCTGAGGAGCCTGTGTCGTCTGCACCGTCCAGCTTGTCGAAGCGCGCGTAATCGAGAGTCATGTGCACGGGCGCCACGCCATTGCCACGGCCGGGGGACAGGGCCGTAAAGCGCAACAAACCAGAACTACACCTACAATTCCCTACACTACATCCGAACACAAACATGTGCCGTCCCATGTGGTCAAAGGGAGCCTTTGTGGCTGCCTATGCGTGCATGTGTCGTACCATGTGCCTACTTGCTTGTGATGCTTTCGAATCTGATGCTTCGGAAAAACTGGCATCACATCAAGTGCCATGATCGACCGATTCGGCTCCGGGCAGATCTGCGAGTGGCAAGACCAGGAGTGTGCTGTCTCTCTGCCAGAAGCTGGCCCTAGGCAGGCTAATCCACAGGCAGCTGCAGTCGGCTGACTTAGCGGAGTTCTGCCCTGCCTCGGCGTGTCTATCTCCATGGGATGGACGCGGTATCGAACAGCCGAGTGGCATGCCTCCGGTTGGGCATCCACATGGCCTCCACATGCTTCCACCTGCACCATCGGAGCAGCTCCTGGAGCAAAACCTCACCACGCTTGCGCTGGCCCGCGACCTCGTCGGATGTGCAGGACGTGATTGGCGTATGACTGGTGTAGACCGTTGAAAGTCAGAGCTCCGAGAGCCTGCAGCTTGCCCTTGCTGAGCTGAGCTTGTCCGAGTCGGAGAGGACAAGTCTTCCAGCCTCTGAAAAATTTTTCCAAAGTACCCCAACTGCCAACGGCGACCCTTTCCGGAGGCTTCGCCTCCAACTTCCTCCGGGCGCATTGCCCACATCCATGGCATCGCTGACTCTGCTGGAGCAGCGTGTGGCAAAGGAGGGTCCTGCTTCTCTATTGTCATTCTAAGATTCGGCGTGTTCATGTCCTGCCTCTTTGTCCCAGATCTTGCAGCTGCTCAACATCTCCACGAAAGACCTAAAAACCAAGGTATTCTCCTCATTGTTGGGATCATTCCTTGTCTGAACCAAAAGCAAAGCAAGGCCAGCGCGCCTTCCGGAAGCTGTCGAGGGCGGCGCATGTCTGGCCATCTGGTCAGCAAGTGGGCGCTTCTCGTGCTTGCCCCGCCGAGTGTGCGCGTGGGTGTGTGTGTGTGGGTGGGGGTGGGGGTGGGTGTGGGTGTGGGTGTGGGTGTGGGCGTGGGCGTGGGCGTGGGCGTGGGCGTGGGTGTGGGTGTGGGTGTGGGTGTGGGTGTGTGTGTGTGTGTGTGCGTGTGCGTGTGCGTGTGTGCGCGTGTGTGTGTGTGTGTGTGTGTGTGTGTGCACCCTGATTCTAAGCTAAGGGTTTTTGGAAAGTCTCTGCGGCTTGGCCGGACATTTCGTATAGATGACTGACGGTGAATGCGGTTTATGCAGGGGGGCAAGGGCTCCAGTGACTAGCCTTGCCCAACGAAGCCGAGTCACTGGAGTGGACGCAGTGGCTGATCACCACTGTGTACCTGCAATCGAAAGGCCACCCCAAAGTACCCTTAAAGTCGTTTGCTGCCACAGTGGCCTGCAGATGGATGGTTTTAGGCCACAATTGCATGTACTACTTCGACTACCACTACTTCTACTTCATTTTCGTCACCATGCATAAGATCTTCGGACAGGGAAGCCAATGAGAGTTAACTCTCTTATTTCCGTGTGTGGCCTTGTTGCCAATCGCAGTTATCCCGCGAGGGAGCTGCACGGGTCGTTGCGCGACTCATCATGGTACCATGGAGGCCCAATAACCTGGTAGGTTGGGTCGAGAGGCCTAGTGCCACGCATGGAGCCCACTAGACCGCTCTCGAGCGATGAGTAACTTTCAGGTGGATGGGCAACAGAGGGCTAGTCCCAAGAGCAAGAATGGTGGGTCTTAGCACCCGTGTGGCCCGAGGTGGGGCCTAATGGAGGTCTTTCGGACCGCAATAGAGGCCGTAGCGCCAATGGAATTTTATGGATGGATTGGTGATGCTCGGCTCCTTCAGCCTTAACCTTTTTCTTTAGTTGCTAGGATCTGTGTGACGCCATGTCTTCTTTCGCTTTCCCGTTGTCGGAAGTACCGCATGTTTGGCTATCCCCTCTGACGGAGGGGCGTGTGTGTGCACCCTGATTCTAAGCTAAGGGTTTTTGGAAAGTATCTGAGGCTTGGCCGGCCATTTCGTATAGATGACTCACGGTGAATGCGTTTTATGCAGGGGGGCAAGGGCTCCAGTGACTAGCCTTGCCCAACGAAGCCGTGTCACTGGAGTGGACGCAGTGGCTGATCACCACTGTGTACCTGCAATCGAAAGGCCATCCCAAAGTACCCTTAAAGTCGTTTGCTGCCACAGTGGCCTGCAGATGGATGGTTTTAGGCCACAATTACATGTACTACTTCGACTACCACTACTTCTACTTCATTTTCGTCACCATGCATAAGATCTTCGGACAGGGAAGCCAATGAGAGTTAACTCTTTTGTTTCCGTGTGTGTGTGTGTGCGTGCGTGTGTGTGGGTGGGTGTGTGGGGGTGGGTGTGTGCGTCCGTGTGCTTGTGCGTGTGCGTGTGCGTGTGCGTGTGCATGTGCATGTGCGTGTGCGTGTGCGTGTGCGTGTGCGTGTAGCGTGTAGCGTGTAGCGTGTAGCGTGTAGCGTGTAGCGTGTAGCGTGTGCGTGTGCGTGTGGGTGTGCGTGTGGGTGGGTGGGTGGGTGGGTGGGTGGGTGGGTGGGTGGGTGGGTGGGTGGGTGGGTGGGTGGGTGGGTGGGTGGGTGGGGGTGTGTGTGGGGGTGTGTGTGTGTGTGTGTGTGTAAACCCTGATTCTAAGCTAAGGGGCTTGGAGCTGAGAGCTTATGCATGAGTCGAATTTTCCCGCAGGGGGATTGGGCCTGATGCTTCTACCCAATCCAACGAAGCTATGAAGCATCAGGGGATGTGGAGTTTGGCCAGCTCCATGTACCTGCAATGTTTTCCAGGAGTCCCGATGGGATTCCCCTATACTGAGGTCTCTCCTGTACTGAGGTCTCTCCAGTCATCTCCAGTCAGTGTACCATTGTACAACAATCTCTGGCTGACCTCCCTCTCTCCGTGTGTGGGCTTCGTCGCCCAAGGGCAATTTACCCGTTTGGGCATTGCCTGATTCCTGGATGGGGATCACCCAAGTAAACAGAGAGGCTTCAGTGCCAGATGAGCCTTGGTAGGCACCCAGTGCTATGAGCGGATTCTCTCTCTCTCTCTCTCTCTCTCGAGGTACCAGCCACGGCTGAAGCTCAAAGTCGCCAATAAGGGCGGAACCGGAAATTGTTGAAGGGCGTCGTAAGCCCAGTCGTGAGACATAGACGAGGTGGTCTAACTCTCTATTCGTGGGTCTCGACCCGAGTCGTATTTCCGGTGGTTGCCCCTCAGTTGCAAATAGACCGTTTTCTTTCTTTAAAAGTAGAGGTGCTCTGGGTCGCTGTGGACAGCGGGGGCCTCCTGGATGCTCCTGGGTCCTTTGTGGCAGCTGGGGGTCCTCCACGACGACGACGATGATGGGACGTGCCTTGGGTCAAGGCGGTGGCAGCTGGGATCTCCCGGACGCTCCTGGGCCTGTCATGGCAGCTGGAGGTCTCTGACGACGATGACGACGACGACACTAAGGATTTCTAAGGTCGGTGCTGGAGGAGGAGGGCCTATGGCGGTGACGGGCCTATGGCGGAGGACTCACCGGTGACAAAGGTACAAGACCAGGACTTTCCCTCTTCGGAGGGTGTGCGTGCAGCATATCTCTTGTGGCCTTGGAATGCACTGTGTCTCCCCTCGTAGGAGGGGTGTGTGTGTGTGTGTAAACCCTGATTCTAAGCTAAGGGGCTTGGAGCTGAGAGCTTATGCATGAGTCGAATTTTCCCGCAGGGGGATTGGGCCTGATGCTTCTACCCAATCCAACGAAGCTATGAAGCATCAGGGGATGTGGAGTTTGGCCAGCTCCATGTACCTGCAATGTTTTCCAGGAGTCCCGATGGGATTCCCCTATACTGAGGTCTCTCCTGTACTGAGGTCTCTCCAGTCATCTCCAGTCAGTGTACCATTGTACAACAATCTCTGGCTGACCTCCCTCTCTCCGTGTGTGGGCTTCGTCGCCCAAGGGCAATTTACCCGTTTGGGCATTGCCTGATTCCTGGATGGGGATCACCCAAGTAAACAGAGAGGCTTCAGTGCCAGATGAGCCTTGGTAGGCACCCAGTGCTATGAGCGGATTCTCTCTCTCTCTCGAGGTACCAGCCACGGCTGAAGCTCAAAGTCGCCAATAAGGGCGGAACCGGAAATTGTTGAAGGGCGTCGTAAGCCCAGTCGTGAGACATAGACGAGGTGGTCTAACTCTCTATTCGTGGGTCTCGACCCGAGTCGTATTTCCGGTGGTTGCCCCTCAGCTGCAAATAGACCGTTTTCTTTCTTTAAAAGTAGAGGTGCCCTGGGTCGCTGTGGACAGCGGGGGCCTCCTGGGATGCTCCTGGGTCCTTTGTGGCAGCTGGGGGTCCTCCACGACGACGACGATGATGGGAGGTGCCTTGGGTCAAGGCGGTGGCAGCTGGGATCTCCCGGACGCTCCTGGGCCTGTCATGGCAGCTGGAGGTCTCTGACGACGATGATGACGACGACACTAAGGATTTCTAAGGTCGGTGCTGGAGGAGGAGGGCCTATGGCGGTGACGGGCCTATGGCGGAGGACTCACAGGTGACAAAGGTACAAGACCAGGACTTCCCCTCTTCGGAGGGTGTGCGTGCAGCATATCTCTTGTGGCCTTGGAATGCACTGTGTCTCCCCTCGTAGGAGGGGTGTGTGTGTGTAAACCCTGATTCTAAGCTAAGGGGCTTGGAGCTGAGAGCTTATGCATGAGTCGAATTTTCCCGCAGGGGGATTGGGCCTGATGCTTCTACCCAATCCAACGAAGCTATGAAGCATCAGGGGATGTGGAGTTTGGCCAGCTCCATGTACCTGCAATGTTTTCCAGGAGTCCCGATGGGATTCCCCTATACTGAGGTCTCTCCTGTACTGAGGTCTCTCCAGTCATCTCCAGTCAGTGTACCATTGTACAACAATCTCTGGCTGACCTCCCTCTCTCCGTGTGTGGGCTTCGTCGCCCAAGGGCAATTTACCCGTTTGGGCATTGCCTGATTCCTGGATGGGGATCACCCAAGTAAACAGAGAGGCTTCAGTGCCAGATGAGCCTTGGTAGGCACCCAGTGCTATGAGCGGATTCTCTCTCTCTCTCGAGGTACCAGCCACGGCTGAAGCTCAAAGTCGCCAATAAGGGCGGAACCGGAAATTGTTGAAGGGCGTCGTAAGCCCAGTCGTGAGACATAGACGAGGTGGTCTAACTCTCTATTCGTGGGTCTCGACCCGAGTCGTATTTCCGGTGGTTGCCCCTCAGTTGCAAATAGACCGTTTTCTTTCTTTAAAAGTAGAGGTGCTCTGGGTCGCTGTGGACAGCGGGGGCCTCCTGGATGCTCCTGGGTCCTTTGTGGCAGCTGGGGGTCCTCCACGACGACGACGATGATGGGAGGTGCCTTGGGTCAAGGCGGTGGCAGCTGGGATCTCCCGGACGCTCCTGGGCCTGTCATGGCAGCTGGAGGTCTCTGACGACGATGATGACGACGACACTAAGGATTTCTAAGGTCGGTGCTGGAGGAGGAGGGCCTATGGCGGTGACGGGCCTATGGCGGAGGACTCACCGGTGACAAAGGTACAAGACCAGGACTTTCCCTCTTCGGAGGGTGTGCGTGCAGCATATCTCTTGTGGCCTTGGAATGCACTGTGTCTCCCCTCGTAGGAGGGGTGTGTGTGTGTAAACCCTGATTCTAAGCTAAGGGGCTTGGAGCTGAGAGCTTATGCATGAGTCGAATTTTCCCGCAGGGGGATTGGGCCTGATGCTTCTACCCAATCCA